ACAGCAAGAGACAGAGAGACAGAGAGAGAGAGAGAGAGAGAGACACTTGACATAGACATAGATACGGGCATGGAGAAGGAACTCCAAGTGGTCTTTTGTGCAGACGATCTCTTTCGACGATTTGCCATGACCAGTGAAAGCAGAACGTAATCAGAAAGACTCGGCGCTTCAGATAGCAGAGAATGGCAACAAAAATAGGTAGTTCAAGTGCTCTATAGCTGCAGCACACCGATAACTAAATACTCTTTCCATACACTCTTTTCAATAAGCCAACTGGGGCTAGCCTCGTCAGCAACCTAGAATTAAATCCTTCTCTGTTCATAGAATATTTTCAGATTTTATTCCTGGTATATATATATCTTATATCTTTCTTTGATATATTACCAAATAAAATAGAATATTTGGAAGTCTTATACAGAGTTTCTAATTTCTAATCTCTTTTAACTGATAAAGCTTTTATTCAAATATGCCCTTCACGCTGCATGACCTAGCCTAAATACCCACTTTTAGGGTATCGAAATGCAGAATGATTCCTGCTGCATGACACGGCGCTCTAATTTGTGTGCATGTAATTATTTCAGGTAACTCGGCAGCGATTTGTTTTGTACAATCGCCCCCCCTTTCCACCTTCGCGACGCTCGGCTATCTCGAGAGTTGGACGTAGCTGAGACCCATTTTGGGCGGAGGGCAATGGCAACATATTAAAAGTAAGTGCCACTTAGGTTTTTGCCTAAAACTTTGAGAACTTGCGCAAAAAAAAAAAAAAACGAACTAACTTAAACTAAGTACCGAGCGAGTCAGTCACAGTCTGGCAGTGAAGTGACTCTACTTGACTCCATGCCACACCAATCCACTCGAGTTGGGCACATTTGTGGTTATGGGTCGACGACGCGGATCATTCGATGCTGGGCTGAGCAAAGGGTGTCGTTGGCGGAAGGGGCATGCTATGTGCAATGCAATTTCTAAAACGTGATTCGTGCAAAGACAAAATGCCAAGCACAGTGGAGCACAACAAAAGACCATTAATATAATTTGTGTCTGGATATCTGTGCCACTCTCCAAATTGCCAGTTTGCCCCAAAGACGCGCGCTCCAGAGTTCCCGCAGTTCGTCCTAAACGATTATGAGGCGACGCAACTCGGAGGCGATTCCGCTGCCCGTTCCAAAGCTCAACTCGCTGCAAATCAAGAACCTACCGCCCTCTCCCCTCCCCCTGCCCTGGGCTTGATGTTAAGCCAACATGCCACAATTTTCATATTGCATTGTTTTCACTGGGCTTCCCAGTTCCCTGTGCCCCACTACCCAGTTCCCTTGCAGCTCGCAATTTCAGATCAAATGGGCCGCTGACACGATCTTGTCGTCGCCCTCGGAATTATATTGTTGGCGTGTGTGGGTTTTGTTTATTGTCGTTTCATTTTTATTGCCAAACATCCGAATTGCGCATAATATGATCAGATAAATCAATATAGACCAATTAATTGGGAATAATAACGGTCGAGGAGAACTTAATGAAAGGCTCGGGCAGGTTCGGTTTCTCTGTACCCATTCCAATAATCAATCCCCTTACCAAAACTCTGTCCATAGCCAAGCTAATTCTTTGGTAATATGCAAGCCTTTAAATAGTCCATTATATGCGCTTATCTGTTTGGCAAAGTCTTCCTCGTCCTCCTCCAGCTCGAGGAACCTTTCGAATGAGGCAACAAATCAGCGAGAAGAACAAAAACAACTGCGGTTGCCAGCGAATTTAGTCATAAACTAAGTGTGGTTAGGGGAACAGCTCGGTTCTGGCCAGATCTGGTCGGGTTGTTGGTAATATCATAAAGAAATGTCTTTATGAGACGCCTAGAGAGGACTGCGCTGTGGCTTGGTTGGACGGCGATCGCGTTTGATGATAATGAAGACTTTTGCGACAATGGGTTCGCACTTGGCGTTCCAGTGAGGATCCGGAGTAGCTAATGATGGGAACAAGACAATCAGGCGAAGGCAAGTGTTCGCGCAAGAACTTCGTATTGAATGCGGTGGCAGATTTGTGTGGCATGTTGCATGGGGGTTTGATTGTTTGTGTTTTTTTTTTTTGGAAATTTCAGTGCAGCGCACTTTCATTTTCAGTGCGCAGCGTCGCATAATTAATTGCGACCGAAAGTGGACAACAATTTGAGCAGCCGTCGCAGAAAGTAAAATGCGCGCCAAAGGAACAACGAACCTGTCCAACAGAAAATAAACCGGATCATCAATTGCGGGCTAAGACCCGAGAGCTGGGTGCTGCGAGTTGGGACATGAAGCTGGGCAACTTTCTTCTTGCTGCCTGCTTCTGACACACTAAACTGACGCAACGTGCGGCAACAAGTGCAGAGCATTCGCCACATTTCTGACTGCCACATGGGACGCCCACGAGCAGCGGCTTGCGGCTTCCTGCCGAGAAAAAGTGGCAAAGACTGTGGCATAAATGAAAATTGTGCATGTTTATGGCCAAGTCAGGCATTGATCGGCGGGCCAGGGGCAGGGTCTGCTGCCTTTATGCCTCATTCACACGCTGCAACCGAGACGCACTCAAGGAGTGCTGCAACGAGAGGGGCACGGTCGCAGGGGCAGGGGCAGGGGCAGGGGCAGGGGCAGCCAGACAGAACCAGTTTAATGGCGCATGAAATTTCACCGAAAAATCGGCGTATCTGCGTCTAGCTGAGGTGGCAACCGTTGCAACATTTGCTGCCAACGTTGCGGGCGTTGGGGGCGTGCGGCAGGCGGCAGGCGGGAGGCGTGGCACAGCAAGTTGATTTGCTTAAAAGAAATTCACTTTCCTTTGGTTTTTACGTTTTCAAACAAACGTGTGTTGCAAACAGCCAAAGGCAAAGAAGGTCACGTTGTTGTAGATCATGAGGATTCGACAAGACGCCACGCGGCTTTCGGCTTTCAGCTTGGAGCTGGGATCTGGTCAAAGTCAGCTGGCTCTAAGGCTAACAAACCCCAAAAAGCAAACACAATTGAATTCAACTCGCATTGGCAATGAGCGAAAAATACTTTTAATGAAAGTTGGCACTTTGCTTTTGGATGCCTCTTTTTTATTATTTATATACATATATATATGTATTTTTTTTTTCTCGTTTTGGGGATATTTTATTTTTCTTTTCGTTTTTGATTTGTGGCAGGCGACATGGAAAATAACTAGGAAAGTGCTCGCTACACAATCGGCTCCGTTTGCTTCCAAGCAGTTGGCCCAAAGGTGTTTAAACCTTAACCAGGCTGCGACTTGATGTCCCGCTCTTGCATTGGCCTCATGCTCATCTACCTTATGTAGAAAGCACGGCCATATCCAAAAGAACTTCACATGAGAGCAAACATATATATATATATATATAAATACTATATGCATATAGAGATATAGATTTGGATACTATATGAAGCTTAGCCCGGTATATGAATTCATCAAGAGTTAGATCTGAAGTCGGGAATTCCCTGAGGTCCTGGCAAACAAATTTCATGCAACCGCTTTCCGCCAATGTTTCACAATTGCGGGCGGAATTTAGCACTAATATAGAGATTGAGGATTTTGATCTGTTGCACTGTATTTTTTATTTAACAATCGAACAAATATGCTGGCCTTGCAAGTTTGTAACTAGAATAAGAAGTCACCGTTTGCCGTGTATCAGCATGTTATAAGCGTGTTTTGTGTTCCGTGTGTAGGATAATTTTGGTTATTCTTCGGGTGGTTCTTCCTCCTCGTCGCCATAGGGACGATTGTTGTGCATGGCTGACCAGCGAGGAACCTGGGACAGCGCCCAATAAGGAAGTATCATCATTATCAGAATCGAGCCCCAGCCGAAGATCAGCTTCTGACCCGTGGACATGGGAAAGCGCGGCGGGCCACAGATAGGCGCATGACGGCGCACCTGTTGCAGCTGACCGGCATAGCCAACTCCAATTCCAGCTCCACCTCCGCCACCCTTACTAAATGTTTCGCCGTGGGTAGCACAGACCCGTTTAATGGGCACAGTTAAAAGATTGCTCAACAGTGTAAAACTCATCTTGAATGCTGCAAAAATCAAGAGAACTTTTTAAAAAAAAAAAAATGAACAATTTTAAGAAATAAATACTTACTGGAAAATCGAACAGCTGTGTTGAGTTAAACAAGACTATATGAACTGTTGACGAGTAAGTTAAGTGAAAACTGGGCGAGGCAAAGTCGGAGCCTACTGAGATTTGGATATGAAAAAAAATCAGGAAATGTGCACAGGGTTCAAATGGGCAATGCGCAAAGGTTAAATAAGCATTAAAAATGCTAATGAAAGAGTTTCGGCTGCCGTCTGGGTATGTGGCCCGCGGTGGCTTTCTTTATTCCGTTTTGATTTGCGCCCAACAATGTTGCAAATAATAAAACAAAGACAAAAGTTAAATATGAAAAGACGCTGTAAAATTATTACATTTGGCGTTGCGTGCGCAAACAATTGACTTTTTTTCGCCTCTCGCGACAGCTAACTGCGGCACGAGAAGTGATCCGATGATTACATAAAATTGCGAATTGGAATTCATAAGTGGCAGGGGGGTTGCCCCAATCCGTCGAAAGCCAGATTATACGCATGGAGGCTGAGCTGTCACTCAGCCGTAGTTTATAATATTCAATTCAATATATTTAAATATACAACGTGTGGTTGCTGTATGGGGTAAATCACACCGATCACATTTATCGATAACTTTGCATATATTTTGAATTCAGTGCGCGCGCCAAGCTGAGCTATCGCCGCACCACCACATTAAAGTAACAGCTGTTGTGTTATGTGTCTCTAACATGCCTCTGTTAACAAAGAAGATTTAGCAGCTGTTAAATCAAATATCCCGTGTCAGTAGTTCCATTTCTTTTAAATTTAATTAACATGATCGCAATTATTTTCGTACACAAGTGCTTTAGCCAATATCACTTAGTAACAAGAAACGATTATCTTATATAGAATTACAAATTAGTGCGCGCTGTTAACATAACATTTTTGGGTGCCCACAGCTGTGCTGTTAAGCTACAGCGGTGCACAGGCAAAACAAAACTAAAAAATGCAGGAAGCAGACGCACATAAAGCGCGCATAACGCAAATCGAGGAGTTCATCAACGATGTGCTTAAAGAGGATCTCAAGCAGCTGGAGCACCATCTCAATCTGTTCAACGAGGAGATCATGGAGTATGTACAGTTAAAGAATACACTGCAAACCTTTGGCGACCATATGCCGGCTGGCTACAAAACGCAGGTGAACATTGGCAGCAACATTTTCATGCAGGCGCGCGTCAAACAAATGGACAAAATCCTGGTTAACGTAGGCAAGGAGGTGTATCTGGAAATGAGCATGGACGAGGCGATACGCTTCAGTGATGTGCGCATCAAAATTCTAACCAAACAGGCGGATGTGGTGCGCGAGGAGAGCGTCAAGAAGCGCTCTCAAATCAAGATGGCTCTCATAGCGATCAGCGAGCGGGAAAAGCTGCTGCAGCAACAGGATGACAGATAACGGGCGTTGGCTTAGGTTAGTGTTAGAAAATGCTCTACAAAATTCCCTAGTTGAATTATTAATATATTGAGCTCTGCAAGCCCGATTAAGGATTCTCACTAAAATACAGCGCACATTGAATTGAATTTTGAAGTCAAGTCAAAAAGCTTTACACAAGCATATACTCTAGTTATTTTGTCTTATAAATTACAACTTTGAATTTACAGCTGTTGTCCTAATGTGATAAAAGGAAAAAAAACGATTACGTGAAATGAACCGATTTGAATGAGTAAAATTGAACCGCAAGTAGAAGGAATGAATAAATATATCCTACAGCAAGCTGGACGTTGACTTGGACCCACTCAACTGCCAGGGCTTGGTCTGTTTGACAGATGATGGCTGCTCGCCGCCTGCAACACATCGTTGATTGATGGAAAGATCGGGCAGGGTGCCGGCATTAAGAGTTTTGCACTGTTCGGATAGGCGCTCCGCGGTGTTGCACATGAACCGCATACGGTTGGTCATCTGCGGGTGAAGGTGGCAAATCAATTGAATTGGACGTGTTTAGGTGGACACTCACATTATCGTGCACCTCCTGCCCGCTGAGAACAACACCATCCGGCTGCTCGTAACCACCGGCTACAAAGCGACTGTTGACCGCGACCTTGAAACGTCGCAACTCCACCTCGAGCAGACAGTAGTCGTTATATAGACGCCTGTATTCCTCGCACAGACGCTGGTTCTCCTCCAGCAATAGGCTGATATGCTCCTCGGCACGCTTGATGCACTGTCGCATTGCTTCATCCGATCTGATCTGCGCATCCTTCCACTTGCGAAACGATTCTATAATCTGTTGCTGCTGCTCGTTCACGTTCGTCTGCTGTCTGCAGTTGAGGATGTGGGATCAAACTGGTTTAGACGGGTGATGGACACGCTATCGGATCAACCGTACCGAATACATACTTCAGCTTGAGCTGCATCTGTTTGCATTCACAGGCAACGGCGCGCATTTGCTGTCGGATATCCTCGTTGGCTTGGCAAAGACGGTCCAGGGTTTCCTTGTGTTGCCGCTCCTCCTGCTTCAGATGGTTTTGCATGTCGCGGACGAGGCAACGTGATTTATCAAGCTCCGCCTGACGGCTTCTCAGCTGATCGCCCAGTGCCCGTTCTCGGCCACAGTTCTTGGCATCCTTCTCCTTAAGGGCGGTTACCTCCTCACGCAACAGATTTCGCTATATCAAGGTATTATTTTATATTAACTCTTTTTTTTTTTTTTGGTTTTCCTCCTCACCTCCGTTTTTAGCTCATCCTGTCGCTTCTCCAGCTGCTCCATGCAGTCTTGCAGGTTCTGTACTTCGCGTTCCGCTCGCCGCAGCTTCTTGGCCTGCTCCTCATAGTTATTCATGAGCTCTTCATTGTTTTGGCATATCTTCTGCCGCTCTTCCTCCTGCGCTTTCAGTAAACTGGCAATTTCCAAAACTTTTTGAGATTGTTCAGCTGAAAGAATCTATTAGATCTGCCCAGTTGCTTGGAATATATGATTAAAACTCACTATTCTTTTGTTTCAGTGCCGAGATTTCATCCTTGAGTCTGTTCGTCTCATTGAGATCGATGTAACCATTAAGCGTTGAGCGCAGCTGCTCGATTTGCTGTTCACGATCCAACAATGCGTTCTGCAGTCTTTGTATTTGACAAACTAGTCTTTCGTTCTGCAAAAGGAAACGTGGCAGAATTCAAACAACAAAGAATTAATCTGTGGATGCTAGAATGCTAAAGGATTTTAAGGCGAAAGTGTTAATAAAGGATTAAAGGAATTTAATAAAGGAGCTCATTATAAAACAAAAGTTAAAGGATCTGCAGCTAGCCTAACCATACTCAGTCTTAGATTCAGCTTTCTTCGATGTATCCGTGCGGATTAAGTCTGCTTTTGTACAAAAGCTATCCTACCACCGATTCATCCCATAGAGCTATATTATGCATTATTCAGACGATTCAGTTCATAAGTCAGGAATATGGTAAGTGGGCTCGAATGATTTAATTCCTTTCTAACCTTAGAAACTCTTTTATACTACCGACTATTCCTATGGGGTTTTACAGATATGTTTCAAACAAGATCTTTTTTATTTTGCAACGGAGATACATTCCTGAATCCTGATTATGAACTTGCAATTGTTGATTGGTTGGTCAAGATTTCTTCAAAACCAAAAGGTTGTCAAACTAGAAATTTATTTTTCTCCGATCGTTAGAAGGGTCTTCGCAAAGAGAAATCCACTTTGCATAGAAACAGACGGACAGTAGAACGTGACTATATTGACACGGTTATGGCATAAATATATACAACGAAAGCAAGCAACAAAAAGTTTCTATTCTTATAAATGATTCTTTATAAATCCCAACTTGTAGCTCGAGTTCATTTGCGCCGATTCGCGTCGGTTCCTCGTGATAGCTCGGCTCCAATTCCCTGGACGTAAGCTCATTTTGCTGTTGCTGCTGCTGCTGCTGCTGTTGTTGTTGTTGTTGTTGTTGTTGTTGTTGTTGTTGTTGCACTTGTTCCGTGAGCTCTTCCAGATCGCGCTGAAACTCCTCAATAATGCTCAGGTAGTTGTCGCGGGTGGCCTGAAGTATCTGCGATTGCGTCTGGCAGTGGAGCAGCGTGTGCTCCAGTTGCTGTCGATGCGGACAGTCCGCGCCAATGTCAGTCTGCAGTCGGATAGCATTTCTTATAACAATCATATAGCTCGAGAGCTTGAACCTTACCATCTTGCAAATGCCAGATATCAGACGGGCCCCAGACACAGTCGCTTTGTGCGTTTGTTTATGTTATTCTTTGAATTGTTTCGGGTGTCGAATGTTGGTCGGGCTTTCGTGTCGATATCAAATTGCCGCTTGCTCAAAATATTTATAAACGCCACGTATTTTGCCTTCATTACCATTTCATTTCATTCCAATAATATTGCTATTAAAACTTTCGTCACGGAAATGAAGGCAAATCCAATTTCGAGCTTGTGGGTGGCACCCCAAAAAGGTGGCAAAGTTTCAGGTTTCAAAGTTTCTATTCTTTAGCACTTTCATTCGCGTCTCCCAGCCCCACAATTATTTTATAGATATGTTTTATTATATTTGACATGGATTTCCAAATAAACTACTTGCATTCGGTATTAAATTATATCGTGAGCTCCAACTTGGTCGAGCTCTTAAGTTGGCTGAAAGCGAATGCATGGCAGCGCGCACTTAAAAACACTTTTAAATGTCGATTATGTGGACCGACATTTATGATTCTTAATTCCATGTGAAAATCGATTTCAGAAGTTTTTATAGCGCTTAAGCTTCCATTTAAAGTTGACGAAAAGTCGTTCACGACTTGCCTTTAAAAATATTGTCTATATCCAGATTCAATTGTGGTCCGGTTTTTTACTATTTTAAAATATTGCAACTATTTTTGTGCGTCTTGCGCCTAATTATATTCAATTTGTGAATCGGCTTAGTTGCGGAATTTATATATTATATTTTCGATGAACCGAACCTCAAGCCTGAATGCAGATAAATAAAGAAGTCTCGAGCCTAAGCCTTCAATTGAAGATTTCGTATTTTTGTAAATATTATTTGCCTGAACTCAAGATCATGAGTTCTTCTATAAATATCTGGAGCAGGTTGACGGCCTCGAGCCGAAGCGCCTAACAATTACAAGATATTGCTGAACAAATTTATAGATAAATTTGGGACATTTGATATTTTTGTAAACTTTCATTTTGCTTTTGTGTTGTCCAACCCATCCGCAAACAAATTGTACGCTTCACTTTTTTCGAGCACTTTTCATTTGCAGCTTTGCTTGTGGCTGCTTGGGGAAAACAATTTGCACTTTTGGCCAACTTTTCAACAGTTTTGTTGGCTCGCAGGATAAACTTTGTTAATTGCACACGTATCCGTTTGCCATCAGCGACGCGTCCTGTTCGTAGTCTTGCCACCTGGTAAATATTATCGCCTCGCCCAGACACTTTACGGCGGGCGTCAACTTCGTGGCCGCAGGAGACGTAGACGACGATAGACGAGAAGTCGTCGTCCTGGCCTACAAACGGGGCGCGCTTGTATGTGGGTGCAGCGCGACGAGGAGAAGCATTGCCAGCACCGCGGCTGATTATTATATTTGCCGTTTTCATATTTCCAACTGTGTTTCCGTTTCGATATTCAGTTCCACGACAGGTTTGATTTGTTTCACGCGAATAAACAGCAACGTTGACGTTGGACGCGGACTACTCCGGCGACCATTCGGCTGTCTATCTGCCCGGGGCTACACCCCTCTCAGGAGCTCATCGATATGCATATCAGGGCTCGCAGCTCGCGTGTCGATTGTGGGCAAATAAATAACACGAAACCTATTTCAGCTCCTAGTAGCTGGTCGCCCCAACCGCCCGAATTGCAGTTGAGCTCGGCAGAGTTTCAAGCGATTTGTATTTGTCCAATGTAAACAAAGAGTAAGTCTTCGTTTCGACAGTTTCGAGCCTTTTTTTCACAACAGTTTGAGTACATAAATCAAACGACTTAAATGGTAATATAGTTCAACTACTGTCGGGAACTGCAGCATATTATGTACATGGTATTATATGTATATATAACAATGGGGAATGCAATTTTATTGCATATATATACCATTTATAGGGCACACCCGAGGGTCCTTTAATAAATTAAACGATTCATTGTTTAGATGGGGTCATTTTGCGAGAAATGGGGAACTACGCTATCTTCGGCACGGGTATCCATAAACTAATATAATCCCTTTTGCAGATACGTGTGGATTGTATGGTTAATGTAATGAGAATATCTTGCAAGAGCACTCGTAAATCAAATATAATATAGCTACTGAAGTCATATAGTTAATGAGTCACAGCTGTATCGATAGGGAGGAACCGGCAAAAATCCTCCCATTTGCGTGTCAGAAACATGTTCCTCATACCAAACCTATTCCGTTGATCGCGATGAGTTCCCATTTGGCCAAACTCCAAAGTATTCCACAGTTTGTAATCATGAGGACATTAATTCCTAATGAACTATGTTTATTGCTTGCATTGCTTAAATACTATAAAATAGTAGAAGTCGATTTTTCACTTTTTTCTCTCCAACACGAACATCAATCGAACTCTAATGACAGCCCTCGGCAAAAATGTATATTTATATATAACAATTTATATACAATAGATGTAAGTGTAGTTTGTTGTAACTATTGCCTTTGAAATTTTTTGGCGGGAACTTGCTGCATTATTAAAGCTAATAAATAGTCGTACATTATAGAACAAAACTTATGG